TCTGGGGTTGCATGGTTTGTCTCTTTCTCTATGTTTTTTGTTGTGGCAGAAATTGCCTAGGGCGAGAGGGGCAGGGGGGAAGGAGACGACTAACCCTGGGTTGTCGGTAGTGGTCACCGAGGCTGGCGGCATCACCGGCCGGGGCATCCTGCTGGACTACGCCAGCTGGGCGGACGAGCACGACATCCCCCTCGCCCCGCTGACCTCCACGGCCATCCCCGTCGCCCACCTCACCCGCCTCCTCGCCGACCACGGAGTCCAGCCCCGCCCCGCCGACATCCTCTTCATCCGCAGCGGGTTCACGCGCGCCTACCACGCCCTCTCGGACGCCGAGCGCCACGCCCTCGCCCGCCGCCCGACCCCGGACTTCATCGGCCTCGAGGCCTCCGAGGCCGCCGTGCGCTGGCTCTGGGCCCACCAGTTCGCCGCCGTCGCGGGCGACGCCCCCAGTTTCGAGCGCGCCCCCATCCGCGGCGCCCACGCCGACCCCCGCTTCAACCTGCATGAGTGGGTGCTGGCCGGCTGGGGGTGTCCCATCGGGGAGCTGTTTGATCTCGAGCGCTTGGCAGAGCATTGTCGCGAGACGCGGCGGTATGAGTTCTTCCTGGCCAGTGTGCCGTTGAAGGTATGTTTTTTTTTTTTTTTTTCTCTTTGCTGCGCCGGGGAGGGAAGGCATTGATCGGGGATGGAAGGATTCCAAGTCGGCTGGAGTTCGTTGGGCTAATTCGTGGATTTTCTTCTTTTTTCTTTTTTTTAGGTTGTTGGAGGCGTAGCGACCCCGCCTAACTCGGTGGCTATCTTCTGATCCTGGAACACGGGATGGATTCCATAAAGATCCGTGTTTGGTGGTTGAATGGTGTATATGAATGGCAGGGTATCAGAAGAATTGCAAGTTTGTACATAGTGGAGTGGAATGATTCTGGTAAGTTCGTCGTTTATGAACGTGTATGTGGATAGTAGAGATTATGAGATGTTGCCGGGTGGCAAGGTATATAGCATAATAGTACAGATTGAAGTAAAAAGACCATTACTGTCGTTATGTGCCTTCTTCAATGCATGGAGAACATCCCGCTCTAGAGTCTCCGTGGGTTCTCGTTGTGCAAGGCTTCAGGCGAATCGACGTGCCCGTGGGGATCAGGGATGTTGCAAGTCTTGATCTCTGCATTCTCTTTGTGGTGGTAGCTTCGTAGGAGATGGGAGCAACCTATTACCCTGCAGTCGCTACAGTCGATCGCTCAAGGATTGACCGCGGTCGCGTTTCATCCATGTTGTTTCACGCTGAGGTCTGGTCCGGCCCGGGTGTATAGGTAGCGCGCTGTTGTGGATCGGTATGAATGCACTGTTCAAGCGATGGGAAGGCTGGCCGAAAGTCCGACCTTCATGAGTAAAGCACCGCAGAGCGTGCTGCCACGACCGGACGATGCGTTGCACGGACTTGGAGTCAGAATTCCAGGTCAAAATATTTGAGCCTCAGTTATGCAAGAGCCCCTTGGCCGACCGGTTGCGACCGTAGGTGGTTGCAACCGAGTGCGAAAAGTCTTAATGGCGGACGGTGGTGAAAAGCCATTCTTCGAATAGGACAGCAAGGGGATGTGATGTATAACAGGCATGGCTGCAGCAATGGCAGTCTGCCATCCACGGTCGCATCGCCTACCCAAGTCACGGCAGTCATGCGCGCCATGTTAATTGATGCCTCAGGGACGGATGATGCTGTTTCTGTGTCGCTTTGAGGGGCCTATATCGCTGGGAGACGGTTCGTATGCGCTCTCCGTTGTGACTTCGATCGTCGTATGCTGCATGACCACGCCCATGGGTGCCAGCTCAAGGCCCCCTTTGCCAATCATCTCCTCGGTGGAATCACTGCGGCCTCGGGTAATTGTCGTTGACGTCGGTCCCTTCGGGTCCGCGCTCATGGCATATTGATTTGCGGCCGATGACTTGTTTCGCCGACTGGAGAGCTTGTTGCTGCTTCCTCGGGCCTCGGATTCCACCACCACACTTCGGCGGGTCACGACATACATGAAAGAATCGCAGAATCCTGAGCATGCCATGATAGAGCCCGCGAAACAGAAGTAAAGCACGCTTGGCGAATGACCCCCCGCGGACGCCATGCGACCGGCCGCCAATGGCAGGGTCAGGCAAATGTAGACGACGGGATAGACAGCCATGTGCATGATGACCCTTTTCAACCGACGCAGACTCTCGGAATTGTGCTCGCCAAGGACGGCCGCTTCAGACATCTTTTGGCGCAGTTGGATGAACATGATGGCGTAGAGTGAAACCGTGAAGAATTCGGAGGCGAAAATCCAGACATAGTGCGTCCACAGCCGCATATTTTCGTATTCGGGAGTCATCCAGCACTGTCGAGAACTCAGTTAGCCATTAATTCGCGCCGGGATATCTCCACATAAAGCAAAGACGCAAGAACTGACCCAGGCCACCGCAGGATACCACACGTATCGTCCGTGTGCAGCAATAGGAATAATGGTCATTACCACCCCAAAGACCCAGAGACCAACGACCATGCTCACAAAAACTCGGTGTTCCATTTGATAGTTGAGGCAGACATGCAGGAACGTGTGCACCGCAATGGCGAGGACGAAAAGACCACTCATTGGGTCGCCGATCTGAAGCCCCACCCCTTGCAGGAAACACGCGGCATCTGTCGCTCGCACCGCATCGATCGCAATCCAGCGGAGAGACATAATGAACCCAAAACTCTGCAGGAAATCGGCCAGAATCAAGTTGAACATGAGCACGACATATTGATTGTAACCAATGTATCGCCGATAGTACTGGCGCCAGAAGATGAATCGATATGTAATGAAGCTCAGAAGCGCGAAGGTCGTGATCATAGAAAGCAAGGCGAGTGCAGAAATCACGATCAGGCCTTTTTGTTGCAAATTGGACAGTGGACTGATCACTGCCGAGCCTTCTTCCCCACGTGAATGCAGGGAAGGGCCGTCTCTGGCCGGGCCAGCCCCCAGAAACGACTCAAGTGCGATGGTCAGCATGGCAAAAGACGTTGAAAAGGCAGGGGTTTTCCCGCTGCACCATTTGGGGCGGCGTTCGGGCTATATAATCAAGGATTTGCCCCTGGGTACCTGGCATTGGCCATGGCGCTATGTGGTGGATAGCAGGAGCTTCATATAGAGCAATGATCGGAGGCATAGCGCACCATAGTAGGCTTGTCCAACCCACACGTCAAGGTTTGCAATTGCCGATACGGGCTCGGGCGTGGACCGAAAGAAGTTATCATCCGCGACGTGCTGCGCGTGGAATCTCCACCCCGTCCGCCTTCATGTTACCTTGGCCCATACTGTTGGATTAGCCTCTAACATGAAGCGAATGGGGATCCGGAGCAGTTAGACTAAGCTTTGGGCTTGCCAATCTGGGACTCTAGCCCCTGGGACATTCGCCATTCCGACAGAAAGGGCGGACGGTGTGCAGGCAGGCAGCACGTTCTGTCTTTCACTAGTACTACTCTAGTATGTTAGCCAACGCCACGCGGCTCGCTTTGAAAAGCTTGACAAGCCCTTGTTGATCCTCGTAGGTCAGGGTCTAGGCTAGCGCTTTGGTGGCAAGTTGCAATAACTCTTCGACTGAAGCTCCCGTGTTTATGAAACATGACTCGGTCAGGGGCAACGTGCTCAGCCTGATTGGAGGAATCTTGCTAGGCTGCAGATAGCAGAGCTCGAACTTCACGCCTCGTCGTCTAGTTCGTGGGCAGCAGAAGCACGTTAGTCTAGCCTAGGTAGCAAATTTTCACCTCCCTTTCCAGAAGGGCCCAACTTACGCTTACTCCACGTGCGGGGCGCCAGCCAAGGTACTGTACGGAGTAGTCCGTACTCATGGGTATTTTGGCACCACCCACAAACCGCGTGCTTTCATCAATCGTAGTCAATGATTGTAGAAAGGTCTGGGGTCTGGGTTTTCAGTACCATGGCATGCGTGAGATAGGACAGGAAAAGTTGAGTAAATGAGGAATGGAGATGAAGAGGTTGGTTGGTGTTTGAATTAGTCACCGTTGGCTTGACTGGGTTTCAGTTGCCGATGATTCTGCCCGGAATTACCGCCCCAAATGACTCGACGTTTCTTTGGCCACTTCAATGTTCATGATGTTAGACAGATTTATTAAGTTCATTTATTCGCCATCATTATCTTGCAGCCTCTGTCTATCGGTCCATCTCATTTGACCTTTGGGCGAACGTGAACATGAATATGGCCAACTTGACTTGGACCAAAAGCAATTTCCCACACCCGCCCGCACAAGAAAGAAAGGGGAAACCTCGTCACGGTTCATTCCTGAAAGGAGCTGGCTTGGCATGGGCGCTTCCCCGTGCGATGGCAGTGAGAGATAGTGGAGCCTGGAAAGATTGACTTGTCGATCCTTTCGCCGGGATATGAGCTCAGGACATCCCATTCCTCCATGCCGCCTAAATATGTACAGTCGGAAAGGTGGTATGTGGAGTCAACGATCATGACCCAAACAAAAACGGCTTTATACGAGCACATGGCTCTCCGCGATACTTCCCAGATCTTCTCCATGGACCATCAGCCGTCCTCCTTCAGCCCTATCACGATCGCAACCAGGGTTTCGAGCTACAATCCAGTACCACGGAACCACTGCCGCAGCGAGTCAGCTCTATCGAGATCAGCAAATGGTGGATTCGATCCAAACCACGAGCCAAGGCACCAAGCGGGAAAGAGAACCAACCACTGCATGAGCTTATCACCTTCCCATTTGGTCGCCATCCACGAGGTCTAGGGTTCGCGCTCCAACTGATCGGCCTTTGATCACTCTTACTATGCAAAACACGGCCGCTTGAGCTTAGGACCCCCTGCACGATATCTGCACAAGCTTTTGAATTCACCATCTGTGGCTTGCACTAGGGCCCCATCGGTTTCTAGTCATTCAGGCTTCAGGGGAGGGGGCAGCGTGGAGGGAGTTTGCAGTTAAGTGGCTCAAATCAGTTACTTTTGATGAATACCATCGTCATTCTTCTTTGAAGTCGTGCCTTACGTTGCGTACAAGACACTGAACTCAGGAGATAGGGGCGAAGTCAAACATAGCTAGTAACCCGAAAACCAGATATGTCCTTATCTCATACCTTGGATCTCAACGCTTTCCGTTGTTGCTACAGCATTTCCCCATTTTGGAGGCCTAGTGCTTACAATCAAAGTTACTGGCTGGTCAGCCGTGGCCCGTGACCGGGGCTGAAGCAAGTCACCATGGTTCTTTATTTTATCAAATTATTGGATTTCAAACTAAAATATCTGAAAGGTATCGAAGCCTTGGGCTTGAGAGTAAGATGTCGCCTCAGACCCGGGGCAACTCTGGCGGATCATCTTGGTAGCTCTCTCGTAGCAGCTGTCGGTCAAAATAATCGTTAAGAGTACCTTGCTCGTACTGTTGCATCCAGTCATCAACGAACCCTTTGATCGCACTTCGAGAAGTCATATCTTTATGGGTATACTTAATACGCCTTATCAGACTCTAAAGGAGAAAGAACGAACCATTGACCTTGGCCAGGAAATGTTGTTCCAGTTCTTCCCTTTCCAGGGGCGACGTATTTCTGACAAATCGGGCCCCCCAATCCTCGTCCTCGTGCAACAGTGCCCAGCGGATGTACCATAACATATCCGCCTGACTCACCTCATGCATGATGAAACCGGGATAGGCCTTCAGACCTTCCTGAAACTCCGCCTGTCCGCGGCTTGAGATGCAGATCTTGACATCAAGCGGCCGGGCGGACATCCACTGCTTGAGGTGATCCAGCATCCTCGAAAAGCCTTGCTTGAAGTGGCTCAGACCATCCAGGTATAGCACAAACTTGTCGTCCGTGTAGATGTCGTCTAGCGTCACAAGCCTATTCCAGGCGTGAAGCACCTCTTCATCGTTAATAACACAAGGGTCATGGAAGCCGCGCGGATAGGAATCGCACTGCCGTGGAAAAAGGCGCGGGGCCAGCTCTGGCTTGTCGACGATGAGGGACCAGTAGATGGCCCGAAGCACTGCTTGTAGGTTCCATTCACATGATGTCTCCCGCGTGCCGTCCGTCCTCCGGAAGAAAACTATCGTCTGCGTCAGGCGCTTGGTCTTGCACCACGTCTGTAGGTGCTCGCGGGCGACCTCCGAGTGGGCAATATAATACACCATCTGCATTTTCCCGGAGCGAGGCTTGCCGGAGATGTGAAAGATTCTGTTATCCGAGTACTTGAGCCAGCTGGCCAAGGCATTTCGCGTCGGCTCCAGAGCCCAGTGGTGCTCCAGGAACATCAGGGATGGGCTGTAGGCATCCAGTAGGCACGACCTTCGCTCGTGATACCTTGGATATATGAACAAGAACCATTCCGGGCGGTAAGGCCTCCTCCCAAAGGGGAACCTACCATAACTCCTGTACCAAGCTCCGGCTTTCAGTCCGTCACAAACCTCCCGCCGAACATCTAGAAGAAACGTTCTCTCCTAATGAGAGGGTGATGATGCCGAGGACATTATGTTCACTCTGTTAGATAGCCCTCTATCGATCTTTTGCGCTTCAGGTTCTCGCGAGATGTGCTCGGTCGGATGTGAATTGAAGAATATCGAACTTCCAGGTGTCTACAGCTCTATTTATGGACGACGACTCGCCGTAGGCAGTATATTGACAACGTTCGAGCTGATGACAATTCCCGCAGACTGATAAGGGGTTGGTGGGATTCCCTTGTTTGTGGGTTCTCTCATTGCCTCATGGATGTTTACCCCCCTCCCCCAAGACGCAGATGGAGGAGGTAGAGAGGGCGGCGTCATTTCTCTGTGCGCCTTCAGCAGTTCCTCTGTTCACAGTCAATTAAGGCATGCACGCAAGTAGACTGCCCGATGATGCATACTAGTATGCACAGTTGTGTATCGAGTTCGTGCCATCCAACAGAATCAAGATACCAAATCTATTAAAGGTACCCGGTGTAATTTTCGATCACGGATGTACCTTTCCAGGGCTTGAAGGGCTTAGCCGGCCTTGGCTATACCAAAGGATTAACTTACATCCTACTTACCACTACCTTAAGACGCAGGAAGGCGCTTAGGGGTACGAGACCATTATAGTGGAATGTATTGGGCTTTAGCGGCCGAAAATATAGCTATTACATGTAGATGTTTTGAGGGCCTATTTCCCAGAGGCAGCGAAGTAAAAATTTTGCTCACAAGTGATACTCTTAGATTGAACTTGTCACCCCTGGCTTATTTAGAACAATATATTGGGACAATACATAAAAGTACGGAGACAGTGTCCCTCTTGTCCCTCTCGATAACTACGGCACCTGTACGGTTCACAGCCCTACCGCCTTCCCCTCAGGGCCGTTCTGCCTTACTCTGCATGGACAGACTGCGTACTCCGTAGGAGGGCCAATGGTCCCCCCGCTCATAATTGTATTAATCATTCGATGTACTGTAACTACTTTACTATACTCGTACAATAAGTTAGTCGGCATTTCTAAGTCACCGTCTCTGCTTCTACCATAGTGTACGAAACTGGCCACTTTGATATCCTTTCTGGTTTGCACTCTGTTGTTGCGCTTATTGACTACCTAGTACTCGTTTCTGGTCTCTTGGGTCGGGATCTGCTCTGGAGATTCACTTTCGATCATTCACCATCTCAGCCTGGACCTTGTCACATGAGGAATCGGGGACTGCTGAAAAGTTCGTTGCATCGCCCGGCTGGCTATGGGTTCAGAATTACGCTTTACAATGCTGTGTGATTAAGTGGCGCTGTCGTCGTCGTCTTCGGGATGCTGCCCTGAGAGGTGCAGTGCCGATATAACCGTTTTGGTGTATCCTCTTTTCACTCGCCACCATACTTTCTGGAACTCCCTTTGTCAGTTCTCAATGGCAAGCATCCATAGGGTCGCTATACGTCAACTGTTGAGCCCCATGAAGGCCCAAAGCAAGTTTATTGGCTTGCAATAAGCAACCCGACAGCCAAACCATCCAGAGACGTATGATTGATTGTAATTGTCATTAGTATACAATCTGAAGGTAGCTTGTCTGGGCTGTAATTAGTCCTGCCAGGAGGGGTACAGTACCTGCCACAGTCACATCTGTCGCCGTAGCCCCATGCCGTAGCCCCATGCCGTAGGCTGGGGCCGGCGAATCCCCTCGGGAGGCCTTTAGCCTCCCGGCTTATTCTTGCATTGCATCTGGTCCGTGGGCCCGTTATCTTCTGTCATCGTTGAACTGCCTTCTCAGAAGCGGTTGATTACACATGTATGTACGCCACGGCGAGGGGTAATACGAGGATCGCTTCTCACCATATAGTCACTGTACCTAGGTTGATAGAATTGAATAGCACCGGGCACCCGTTGACGTATAAGTATGGTAGAATGCTCCATCGTCGCCCATTCTCCAGGTCTGCATTAAATCCAAACCTTGCTTTCATAGTGAGTCGATTCGCCTGAAACTACCCTCTCCTCAAGCCAAAATGTCGAACCTAGCGCTGGTGGTGCATGGGTCCGAGCTCCGACAAGAGTCGATTGCCATCCCCTCGCCAGCCCCGCACCAAGTCCTGGTCCGTTTGTCTCACGTTGCTCAGAATCCGACCGACAGTGAGTAGTCTCCCTTCCCCCACCTTCGTATCTATCATACCTTTACCCTAGTGGCATCTCTACTGAAACCGAATCCAGTCCAAGCCCTCGATGGAAAAGCCTTCGGGGATGGAGCCGTGCTCGGCTGCGATTTCGTCGGCGAGGTCGTGGCGTTGGGCGATGCCGTGACGCGATTTGCCAAGGGGGATGTCGTGGCAGCCTTGATCTGGGGTGGTGAGTCAACTTCTCTATCAGACCCTCTCATTTCGCAGACCCACAAGACCTGGCGGTGGAGGCTGATGAGGGGGGATCCGCAAAAAACCAGGCGAAATCCCCGGTCTCGGCGGGTACAGTCACTACACGCTGGCCGACGAACGCATCGCCTTCAAGCTGCCTCCGGGGGATGGGATCTCCCGCGAGGAAGCGAGTACCGTGCCCCTGGCCGCCGCGACGGCATGGCTGGCTCTATTCGCCAAGGGGTGTCTGGATATTGATCGCGATCGGTGCCAGGGGAGGAGTGTGCTGGTCTGGGGTGGTAGCTGTGCGTGACCTCCCTCTTTCATAGCGAGCAAATCTTGACAGAGACCTTGTGCTTACTGATGAGTGGACTGACGACCATGGGTAGCGAGCGTCGGTCTATACACCGTCCAACTCGCCTCCCTGTACGGCCTCGAGGTAGTGACCACATGCAGCCCGCGCCACGCCGATCTGGTCCGCGCGTCCGGCGCCGCGCACGTCTTCGACTACCGGGACGCGGACGTCGTCGACAAGATCCGCACGGCCGCGCCCGCCCTGCACTACGTCTTCGACACGATCGGCAACGAAACCTCGTCCGTGATCGCCTCGCGGGCGGTCCGGGCCGGCGGCAATGTCTGCACCGTGCGGCCAGGCAAGACCTACAGTGAGAATGTCGCGTCGGGGGTCCAGGTGACGAGTGTGTTGGTGTTCACGGCGTTCCTGAAGGACCATTCGTATGGGCCGTATAAGTGGCCGGTGAGTCTGCTTGTTCTATGTGGTTGCGGCAGGGGAGAATGGATTTGAGGGGGCTGTTGTTTGTGGATCGATAGACTGATACTTTGTCGCTTTGGGGACGGCAGGCATCCCAAGAGGACCATGAGCTGGCCAGTGAGTTCTTCGACCTTGTGCCGGATCTACTGGCGTCGGGGAAGATTAAGCCGAGTCGGCCGAAGGTGCTGGGAGGACTGGAGGCTGTGCCGGATGGGTTCCAGGAGTATCGGGATGGGAAGATCTCGGGGTATAAGATCGTCTATCGGATTTGATGGCACGTGAATCTAGGGTTGCAGAGAAAAGTTGTGAACGGGAGCTGTAGATACGACTAAGCTTTAGGGTCAAAGAAAGGCCAAGCGGCCAAGAGGAGATTGAAACGTGAGGCCGAAGCGGAAAAAGCAAAAAACGACAGCAGTCGGATTTGAACCGACGCCTCCGAAGAGAATAGATTTCTAGTCTATCGCCTTAGACCGCTCGGCCATACTGTCTTGTGTGATAGAACCAACAACAACGCACAATATGTACCTGGCTCCTTATGACATCCCACTGAAGTAACATTTGATGTTTAATTTGACTTTAGCCGGCGCTCAGTTGGCGAGTGCGTGTCTACCCCGCAATGGTGATCAATTTAAACTACCATCCGGCTTGTGACGGAAAATATCGAGCGTGGCTTAACGCGAAAATGAGCAGTGTCATGTGACGAGCCCTGAATCGGGCCTCGGCAGGCCACTCGACGACCCAAAAAGCAAGCAAGCAAGCAAGCAGCTCTATTCTATTGTAAGCAACGTGGAGGAGGACCAAATTCGAGGCCTTCTCTTGAGCGGGTCAAACAATTTTACGGGGTCGCTCTCCGTTTCAACCGGTGGTTCTGGATTTTCGACCTGAGCTATGTTCACTGGTTGTTCTCCTTAGCCATCTCATAGTATCGTGCAACATTTCTTCAAGCACCTATCAGCACAATAAAAAATGTTGCATCTATTGGTGAGGCCTCGCCTTGAATGTCACCCTAAGTTTATGGCTAGCTCAGTTCTAGCCTATGGTCTGAAGAATCAAGCTTGGATAGACTTTTGACCCAGGATCGTCGTCCGTACCACTTTCTCGTCCCCGGAACTCCAACCCAAACAACCGAGGGTGGTGATCCCCAGAATCGCAATGGTTGCCCGTTTGGGCGACTGCGAGGGCATGTGAACTGGTGGTGATGTCTCTTTTTATGGGCGCGCGTAGCCGCTGGATGTGATCTCGTCAATCAAGGAACACTACAGCCTGCGTCGTTACCATGAATTTCCAACAGTCGATCTCTCTCGTCCAATCCTGGTCTCTTTCGTTTTGGGCTCAGCTGCCTGAGCCTGTACGGACTGCCCTTGACCGTCATCCAGTCGTCCCGCTAGCCCTGAACTCTTTGCTCGCTATTGTTGTCCTGCGGTATCTGAACCGCGCCCTCACATCGTGGTCACTGGGGAACTGCCCTGCCAACAGATGGAACCCGGATCGTGAGCTGGTCCTCATCACCGGTGGCAGCAGTGGCATCGGCCAGCACGTCGTCCTCCAGTTAGCCGAGCGGGGTGTGAAGTGCATCATCCTGGACATCCAAGCACCTACCTATACTCTGCGTACTGAGCCCTTAGTCCTCATCGGGTCTGCCCTCCAGCTAACATTCTTCTGCAGCCAAATCTGCTCATTTCTACAAGACGGACATCACGTCCACCGACGCGCTCCACGCCACCGCCGAGCAGGTGCGCGCCGACCACGGCCACCCAACGGTGCTCGTCAACAACGCCGGCGTGGGCCACGACGGGACCATCCTCGACGAGCCCGAGAGCAAGATCCGCCAGACCTTCGAGGTCAACACGCTGGCGCACTTCCTGACGGTGCGCGAGTTCCTGCCGGCCATGCTGGAGCGCAACCACGGGCATGTGGTCACGGTGGCGAGCATGGCCAGCTTCGTCGCGCTCGGCGAGATGGTGGACTACTGCTGCTCCAAGGCCAGTGCGCTGGCGTTCCACGAAGGCCTGGGCCAGGAGATTCGACACTGGTATAAGCGGCCTGGTGTGAAGACGAGGTATGCGGTTTTTCTTTGCTCGTTTGATGTCTCCCCCTTTTTTTTGTCGCAATTTTCCCTCGCATGGCTAATGACAACCTCGCGTGTAGCGTCATTCATCCGTATTGGGTCCGGACACCCATGATCCAGCAACTGACCGACGCTGGAGATCTGTTCAAGCAGCCGGTCATGACGGTGGAGCGTGTGGCTACGGCGATTACGCGCCAGGTGGTGTCGGGCAAGAGTGGGCAGGTCATTCTTCCTGAGGCTTACTCGGTTGCCAGTATGGTGCGGGCATTTCCGACATGGTTGCAGGAGCACGTACGAGGGCTCTCTTCGAAAGACATTCGACGGCTTCGGGAAGGGCAGAAGTGAGAACAAATTGCTGGCCAATTGCTACGGTTAGAGGGCCTGAAGGCGTCAGTTCAATGTGTGGTCGAGAGGTGAGGTCGGTTTCGAAGAAGATCTTTGTGTGACCCCGATCCTTTGGCTAAATCGATCGATTAACTCCCGATCAGAAGGAGATATGTTGCCCGGGACTACTTGGGATAATATGCCTGCAATGGTAATAGTGAGTCTGTCTTAAGCTGTAAGGCAGGGTTTTTCTCTTCTCCACTGTCTCGACCAAGCCTCTATTTCCTTTTCTTTTTTTCCAAACGCTTTTTCGCAATAGTTAATAGTAATGAAGATCATATCATCACATATTTTGACCATCGGCGAAACCATACAAAGGCGGTGTCCGACCGGGGAAGGGATGGTCCGATGGATGGATAACTAAATAATCCATTCATTAATACTGCGTGCTGAATACTTCCTGATTGCTTAATCAGGGCATGATCGGTTCTTCGAGGTCCCGTCCGTGTCTTACCATGACGACAAGTTATCCGGTTTCGTCTCGCTCTTTCCCTGACTGACCCCCCGATTTAACTGGGGAATGTGTCAGTCACAACACTGTAGATTTTTTGTATTCTGTATTCTGTATGTTGTTCCATCAACTATCTTTCCACCTTTCTGATGAGAAACTGTACCTGAAATATCCACACTCATTTAGATCGCCATGGCCAGTAATCACTATTCATTATCAGGAGATGATCTAAGCCGATACCCCGGAGCCACAACCACTCAACTTCCCAAAATCGACTTCGACGAACCCCTTCACCACGCCGGACCACCACCGCCCGCAGGCGCCGGCGAAGGGCATCGCCGCGGCAGCAAGAATGCGCCCGTGCTGGAGCATCGCTGGTACGACCCCCGGGGCTGGTCGACCCGCAGGCGCCTCCTCGTCGCCGCCGGCATCGCCATCGTCATCATCATCGCGGTAGTCGTCGGGGCCGTCGAGGGCACGAAGAGATCGAGCAGCTACCCGGACTACTCGCGCCTGGACTACGAACTGGTCGACACCTACGCGGGGGCCTCGTTCTTCGACCGCTTCGACTACTACTCGGGGGTCGACCCGACCGACGGCTTCGTGCAGTACGTCAACAAATCCACCGCGCAGTCCCTCAACCTGACGTACGTCACGGCGGACGCCTCGTCGGCGGTGCTGCGCGTCGACACGGCGGACCGCAACGCGAGCCACGGCCGCCGCTCTGTGCGCCTCGAGTCCACCACCAGCTACGACACGGGCCTCTTCGTCTTCGATATCCGGCACTCGCCCTACGGCTGCGGCCTGTGGCCCGCCCTGTGGCTGACCGACACGGTCAACTGGCCCGCCAACGGGGAGATCGACGTCGTCGAGACCAACAACCTCGCCACCGAGGGCAACGCCGTCACCCTGCACACGGATGGCGGCTGTAACATGAAGAACGTCAAGCGCAAGCAGACCGGAACATCCAATTTCGTGACCTGCGATAACAGCACGCACAGTAACGCCGGGTGCGGGGTGCAGGGCCCGCCCAGCACCTACGGGCAGGAGTTGAATGAGAATGGCGGCGGGGTATGTTGCATGCATCATTGCATCTTCCTTTCCTTCTGCCTGTCCCTTTCATTTTCCCCTAAGAAAGAAAGATAAACTAATGAATAACAACAGATCTACGCCCTCGAACTCCGCGACGCAGGCATCCGCACCTGGTTCTTTCCCCGCGCCGCCATCCCGGACGACATCACCTCCAGTATCAGTACCTCCACCAACACCTCGACCAACACCTCCACCTCCACAACCCCCGACCCGTCAACGTGGGGCACCCCCCTGGCCGACTTCCCCAGCACCCACTGCGACATCGCCGCCCACTTCCGCAACCAGAGCATCATCGCCAACATCGACCTGTGCGGCGAGCTCGGCGCCCAGAAGCAGTTCTACACCGACCTCTACCATTGTCCCGGCCGGTGTGTGGACTTCGTGCGCACCCATCCGGACAATTTCACCCAGGCGTATTGGGAGTTCGCGGGGTTTTGGGTTTTCCGGGCGACGTAGTAGATCATATATATTATAGATTTGACTGGATGTGTTATGTAGATATGTAGATAGACTGGGTTGGAGTGATTTGGGACTAGCGGGGTTATGGGTTGGGGTTCGCACGTTCATTTTATGTTGAAGGGTTCAGTGCTTGCTGGATGAGCGCCTGAATTATGAGTATTCTCATGTTTGTGGAGGAAAGACATATTGCTTGTTGGGGGGAGATGTGATACGTTGAATGAAGTCTACTCACTACAATCGGTAACACCTGAAGTCAGATAGGTAGAAGTGAGGTGGCATTAGAACATCCGTATACTTATGCTTTACTGGCCGACAAAAGGTCCAACTTTCACATCAAGTCGTTCATACATCATAACGCACAACACGCACATCAAATCACCCGGTGTCATACCCGGGGTATCCCGACCCCGCCGAGACCATCGTCGAGTATCCCGGCATGTACGCCCCCGGCCCCGCCCCCGCCATATACGTCGCCGGCGACGAGATCAGGCGCCGCTGGATGATCTCCGACAGCTGCTGCATCTCCTCGAACACGGGGTCGTCGCCCCATTTGCGTAGTCCGAACCGCAGAATGCAGTGGATATCTGACAGGCAGGCCGTCGCCCGCGCGTAGAAGTTGAGGCAGTCTTCGCCGTCGAGGACCAGCGCCGACGGCGTCTCCGGGGGCACCGCCGGTAGGACCGGCACCGAGGGACTGAGCGGCAGGTCGTGGTTCTCGGTCAGTTCCCGCGTTAGGCGGCGGATCGCCTGCAGCGCGCGGTGCATGTCCCAGAAGGTCAGGAAGGGGGACCAGGCCGGGTTGCGCAGCGCTTCTTGGATTTGGCCGAGGTACTGCATGCAGCGTTCGAAGAGGACGACGTTGCGGTACTCTCCGATCGCTGCTGGGGGTTCGTCATTCGGCGAAAGGATTATGACCACGGTGTAAAGGAGTTCCAGTTTGTAGAGGACGGGGAAGTGGCTGGGCGTGGTGTTGGGGGTTGCGTCGAACCATTCGTAGGCTTCTGCGCCGAGGGCCCAGGTGGATTTCGCGTACAGGGGGCAGGAGTCGT